GTTGGCAACGCTATCGACACCGGTGCATTGTGGGCAAGTTTTGCTTCGTATGGTGGCAACAACCGCCCGTTCAGCCTGTTGACGGCACACCGGCTAGAAGGCCGGTGGAGGAGACCAAAACTCTGGACGTGTTTTGAGTTCCAGAGTCGCTAAATGGGACTCGAACCTAACGTGTGACCCCACCAATGAATTGCTCGTTGGGAGAGCAATCCATTGACGGGGTCACAAGTTCGGTTCGAGTCCTGCTTAGCTACTCTGGGGCTCAAAACGCGTCAAGAGTTTTAGGCGCGTCCACCGGCCTTCTGGCCCACTGCGCGGCGGAGCGATTTGCTTCTTGCCAAGCCATCGTGTGGACTAAGGGACTGCATGGCACTGCAGCGCCTGCAGCCACTGTGCGCTGCATGCGAGAGCCTGACCACGGGGGCGGCCCGGCGCGGCCCGGCGCGGCCGCTGAGGAGGGACGGGTGTGCGTTTTGTCGCTGAAACTATTTCCACTACTGCAAAATGTGCATGCACGGCGGCTCGGTGATGATAGCTATCAAATTTCTAGCTGTCCCTCCTCTTGTGTATATCTTCAATGGAATAGGCTTGAACGAAAAATAATTACAGCAAGCGTCCACATGAACAAACTTGGAAAAATAATAATATAAAACAAATTGAAAAGTGACACTTAAATAAGAGCAAAAGTGCTGAGCAAATCTTCTTCCGGCGCTATTTTCACGATCATCTCGAACTTGCGGAGCGAGGAGGGTCGATCTGAGAACGGCAGAAGGGCGAACAGGACACACATCGCAGCCGAAAGCGACGCGTAAAAAGAAGAAAAAGAGGATCGTGAAAAAAGAAACGTGAAAAAAGAGAGAGAGAGAGCTCCTATTTGTTGCGACCTCGCCACAATAAACTGCGGGGCGAGTGAGAACACGACATGTGCGAGGAAGAGGGAGAGGGGAGGGTGGGCGTGGCCACCATTAATTATCGCCAACCCAAATATACATTACATAAAAGGACGTATCGTCTGTCACAGTTGTAACGAAGCGTTTAGGGGTGGCTGCAGGCCGAGCGTCGTCTGTCTCTCTCGCACTCATGGGGTGTTCCGTGCTGGAGCGATAGAGACAGAGCGACGACCCTCGGAATCAGTGTGCCGGTCGTGGCCGTCGTGGCCCGTGCTGGGGCGAGGCCTTTGTACTGGGTCGCGTTCAGTGGGTGCCTCCGAGTCTGGCATTCCACGGGCCATTCAGAATTCGCCTTGAGGATTAGCAGGCGGTGAATGGTAAGGCGATGATGAAACATATTTCGATAAACTTGGACTGTCCCGAGAGAAGGACGGTATAGGTCTTCCTCCACGCACTTCCTAAAGAAGGCTCCTTTTGAACCTGAGATTATTTACTTGGAACCAGTCACTCCAACACTGAAAAACCAAACGTGGTATAATTGATCACACCACTGGTGTGGTCCGCATTTTGACCGCATCAGTTGGTGGTTGTCTAGACCACGTTTGGCCACGTTTGGTGTGGTCTAGACTTCGTTTGGTGTGGTCTTTCCATGCAATAACCACACCAAATGCACCAAACGTGGTCTAGACCACACCAACTGATGCGGTCAAAATGGCACCCATTTGACCACACCAATTGGTGTCGTGGCCTCGACCACGTTTGCATTTTCAGTGAACTTGCTAGTACAACACGCTTAAAACCTTAGGAATTATTTTGAGCATATACATAGTACAAACTAATTTACTTTGTTATACGAAGAAATAGTTCTACAAAGTATTTTCTTTGGAAGCTTATGTTTGCTCAAAATACTTTGTTATAACAAGCTGCTTTTCTTTGTAAGGCCTGAAATGGTTTTAAGGTTTTCAGGTTTTCAGGTTTAAGGTTTTCGCCCTACTTTTACTAGTGTATATCCTGGAATGTTCCCTCTGGTTCCCACTGCACGACAAAAGTGATGATTGGCGGACGGGCCCGCCGGAATCCCGATTCGACTATCGAAATCCTTCGATAAGGCGAAAGGAAAGGACATGCGGCGCAGTTCGTACTCTGCATGTGAGAAACATGTGCGCCTTGTGTTTCGCGCTGCTCACTTCCCAGCCAGTTCGCCCCCTTTCCCCTCCCCTCCCCCCCTTTCCCCCGTCGACTTCCTCTCCCCTCTTTCTAAATAACCCCCTTGGAGCTCCCCAATGTCGATTGTGCGGTTCGTCACGCCCACTCCAGCTGTTCTGTCGCTTTTAACGTGTCCTGCCGTGACGTACCTGGAGCCAGTGTGCGTGTCTCTCTCTCTCTCCCCCCCCCTCTCTCTCTCTCTCTCTCTCTCTCTCTCTCTCTCTCTCTCTCTCTCTCTCTCTCTCTCTCTCTCTCTCTGTGACATTAAGCTCGATGTCAATATCGTTCATAACCGACAATTCATACAACTTTTCTCGAGGCTTCCGCTGTGGGTATGGAACATGAAAATCCCAGCGAGCGAGTCAATTATTTGAAAGCTGGACTCACGCGTTGTTCTTATTTTGAGCGTTTTGCACCAGATTAAACAGAGAGTTGTAACCCTCATGGGTGGCTGCGCTGGTCAAATCAATTGACACCGTAGTCTGCGCTGTGCCATGGCTGTGCCCCCTGGGAGACGCGACGTGGCTCCTGTTGTCCGCGTTTGGCCGGGACCGCAAGGACCCTAGGGAGGGACGCACAGTGGGCCAGAAGACCGGCGGAGGCGGTCAGAATTCCGGACGGGTTTTGAGCTCCAGAGTCGCTAAATGGGACTCGAAACGAACGTGTGACCGAACTTACCAACGGATTTCTGTCCGAACGAGGAATGCATTGGTGTGGTCACACGTTTGGTTCGAGTCCTGTTTAGCGACTCAGTAGCTCAAAACGGGTGTAGAGTTTGGCCGCCCCCACCCGTCTTCTGGCCCACTGTGTAGTAGACGGACAAACCGCGGTTACTCGGTGGGTCACGTGTCAGGGCGAAGGACGAAGAACGGAAAGGTCCCGAGAGAACCCCTCTCGAGAATCACGAATCACGCTGGAATCACGCCGACATTTTTTCAGGTCCCATGAAACCCCTCGAAACGACACGAAAACACAAAATTATTTGTTGAGGTGACCGACTTTGTTCGAGAGGCTAAATTAAATTCGATAGCCGTTAACGAAAATCCGGTTCCCAACCAAAACCTGGTGCGTAGTTGAACATTCGTGCGGCCGGAGTGTGCGCTATGTTATCTTTTGGTTGTAGGTATCGGATTGCCGATCGATTTCGGCTTACAGACGATCACCCCGACAAAAAGTCTTTGCCCACGAAGCGCGGCCGAAACTGCGTACCAAAACTAAACGTTTACCAATTTCAATGAACGACACTTTGTTTTCTGTTAGGTTTCCGTGTACGAATGCCCGGAGATTTGTCGTCACCCCTTCTCCGTCTGCGATCGCTTATGTCGCTCAGCGAAACGAGAAAAATGTTAATCGCTCTGGCAAATGACATGGGCCAGCAGACTGACTCCGAGAGTCGTCGCTCTGTCTCTCTCGCTCGCACCTATACGGGACGCCCCATGAGTGTGAGAGAGACAGAGTGACGAAAACGACTCTCGGAAATGAGTCTGCAGACCGATTACACCAAAGCGTCTTGTGATTTGGACGAATAAGTAAAGGAGGGGCTCACTCGCAACCTGCTGCTTACTTTCGATAGTCGTTTTATTTAAACGAGTCTCTATGTACAAGGCCTACAAATACACATCACAATAGCACATCATTATGTATAATTGAATATACATGGATCCGAGCAGAACGCGTTGCGGCGGTCCACGGGGATGAGACTGGGGAGGGGGAAAAGGGGGGGGGGGAATGCAACGCGCAAAAGGCCAGCGCCGTTTGAGTCGACTTATTGCCCCCGGGGACGCCTGCTTTTGTGCATTCACGCGCTTCATCGTTTGGGGATGAAAAAGGGGGAGGGGGAGGAAAGCGATCCGGGCAGGGGAGGGTTCAACGTGCGCCACACACACACAAACGCTCGCATGCACTCACCTCTCTCTCTCTCTCTCTCTCTCTCTCTCTCTCTCTCTCTCTCTCTCTCTCTCTCTCTCTCTCTCTCTCCACACACACACACACACACACGCACACGCGCGCGGCAATAATGTATAACACGACGGAGGTGTGAAAACGTGGCCGGCGATGAAACTGGCGGAGTCGGTCGGTCGGCAGTTAATGGGGAAACATTAGTACATAAATTTGACGGTTTGTGTGTGACTGTGCGGCGGGCACGCCGTGGGGTCTACACTGCGAGTCGTCGAGGAGCTCCAGACCCACAGTGGGCCAGAAGACCGTCGCAGGCGGTCAAAACGCTGCATGCGTTTTGTGCTCCAGCGTTGCTAAACGGGACTCGAACCGACCGTGTCACCCACCAATGGATTGCTCCTCTGGAGAGCAGTCCATTGATGGGTCACATGTTCGGTTCGTGTCCCACTTAGCGACTCTGGAACTCAAAACGCGTCCGGGGTTTTGACCGCCCCCACCGGTCTTCTGGCCCACTGTAGGGCAGCGATTGGTCGCAGAGAGACTCCAGCACAGCCCATACACACACACACAGACACACACTCATACGTTGGTAACAGGTCTACGAATTAAAGATTACAACAGGTCTTATGGCATCACATTTTTACAAATTTACACATTTACATCAGGGAGGAAGACCCAGTGAAACCCACACGAATCCTCTACGTAGTCGATGGACACTTTTCGTCAGTGATATGCACTTATTTTAGGGGCTGCTCGAGAGGAGAAAAACCTGAATACACGTTGCAAACTGGTTCCGTGTCACTCTCAGCAAAGCGGAAAGTCCTTTTCTCGAAGTTTCACTCTGTTTCCACCCGGTAGCTCTTCACACTCGGTAACAATATCACAGTAATCGGTCCGCAGTCCACGCTGCGACCGGCGTAAAACCGGAGCCCCAGCGGGCGGCGGCGGGCGTCGAACGCGCGAACTCGCGGCGCGTGCGCGTGCGGCCACGGTGGCGCCGCGCTATCACAGGAAGGGCTGCGGTTGCTGGGCCAGGGGCGGGGCCAGGGGCGTTCCCATGGGCGTTCCCAGGGGCGGGGCGTGCTTGGTGCTCTCGGGGCGTACCCAAGCCTCGCTGGGCGCGCCGAGGGACGCCTGGGCGCCGCTGAGGGTGCCCAAGCCGTTGGCGGGCACGGGCATCCCCCGCAGGCTGGACAGCCGGGCCAGCCCCGGGCCGCACCGCTCCAGCTGCTGGTGCTGACTCCGCACCGCGAACCGGTTCACGTGCACCGGGATGGGCACCACGATCTTGGGCGCCGACGACGACGAGCCGGAACCGGACGAGCCGCGCGCCCCCGCACCGGAACCGGAGTGGCCCGCCTTGACGCGCTTCCACTTGGCTCGCCGGTTCTGGAACCAAATCTTGACCTGCAATGCGGAGGCAGGCGTCAGCACGTGGACATGGTTTGGAGTGAGCAGCCTGGTGGAACGAGACACAGTGGGCCAGAAGACCGGTCCAAAGCTCCAGAGTCACTCAATGGGACTCGAATCAAAGTGTGACCCCACCAGGATTGCTCTCCGAACAAGGAATCCATAGGTGGGATCACAACTACAGATCGAGTCCTCTTTAGCGATTCTGGAGCTCAAAACGCGTCCAGAGTTTTGACCGCCTCCATCGGTCCTCTGGCACACTGCGCATGCTCCGTCAAAAGCACAATATTTTTTACAGTGGCTTATGCAAATTACCTGCACTTCGCTGAGCTTGAGGGCGGCGGCGATCTGGGAGCGCTCCGTCAGCGAGAGGTACTTCTTGGCCTGGAACTCGCGCTCCAGCTCCAGAAGCTGCTCGGACGTGAAGGCGGTGCGCCGGCGCCGCGTCTTGCTGGGCCCGCCCCCCGCCCCGCCCGTCGCCGAGGCCCCGCCCCCAGAGGCGCCACCCGCGGCCGCGCCGCCCCCACCACCGGCCTCGAGGTCCGCGATGTCGTCGTCGTCCTCTTCGCCGCTGTCCACGCCCCTGCTGCTGCCGCCGGGGCTCCGGCCGGGACTCCGGCCTGCGGGAACAAGCACATTCCTGTTTGATGCTCAGCAAAAGAGTCGTCACAATAACGTCATGTCAACAACAAACATCGACACACTGATAAAACTAAAGCATAGTATTACCCTCTGTTTTCAAGCGTAAGCAGTTTACGCTTGAAAATCAGGCGTAACAGGCTCATCCGTCAAGATGTCACGTATCTTAATGCATGGGGGAATAATTATTAGTCTTTGCTTCATTTCAAGCGTAACGCTAGCAAGCGTAACTCCATGCTTGACTCGAGGATAGAGTTACGCTGTAGTTTTACCAGTGCACGAGAACAATTCAACTCTGTTTCAATGTGACTTTATTGCAAAATACTGTACTATAAAAGTGGTGTGACGCGACACACTTAGCAAAATATTTCAATTAAAGAGAGAAAAACAAGAGTTTAAGAAAGTGTGAATAAACCTACAAAAATTGACTTAGGTCCCCAGTTTCATTGAATTCACATTCAATGGAAGCGTTTTCTGCAACCATGCTTACATAAACTACGTACTTCAAAACTGGGAACAACACCGTGTGCACTGAGTACTCACTTAATTTTTCAGTGCATATTTTGTCAGAACATGAAAATCTGAAACTTTGCGCCCAACTACACATTATTCCTGAGCCGTATCCCACTTCCGTCACTCATGGAACACGACTCAGGGGAGCTAAGTCAGCAAAGCAGAACCCAATCGGGCCGCCACTTCCCTCTGCTTTCCCCTCCTCGGCCTTCCCCTCCCCCCTCCCCCTTTCCTCAACCCTTCACTGTCGACACGCCGTCTTAATGCATCGACTAGCTCGAACTCGCTCGATGTCTCGATGCCTGCAGACGTCAAGGCCTAAAGTGCCGCGTGCGACAGAATGAATACAATAGACAGGCTTTTATTAAAGTGACTGTCGGCAAAATGGCCGTTCGATGTCGTCTGGAGGCGGAGCACGGCGTTAAATGCGTCAATGAGTTAATTCTATAACAAACAGAGAGGCCGTCAAAGAGTCAAAGGCCTGCCAGCGACTGCCTCGCCGTAATGCAGGAAAGCCCCGTGGAACTTTATAGTTGCAGCCTGTCTGCTTAGGGAAACGTGCCTATCACACGCACACACTCGAGCTGAAAACGCAACAACACTGGTGGGAGAATGTGCAGAAAGTCCGAAACAAGTCTAGTCAACAATTTTTCTGGACCGTCCGTACCTGTCTTCGGTACCTTTTTTCTGTAACCCGATTACATGATTTCGGAACAAGCACGCGGACGTGCCGTGCTTTTCCCCAAGTATATTATTTTGAGCATTTTCTGTACAAAATTACGGCATTTTTACAGATAGTTTTCGTTACGAAAGTCTCAGGTGAAGAAACGTTTTTAACTCGAAATTTATTCTGCTACCGAACAAACAAAAATATTGGAATTTGTTCGACATTTTCAAGCTCAAATTATTCAACTGGCTTTCAGCAAAGGCTTGCTGTTTGAAATCACCTAGGTCTTGCTTTATTGATAGCTATTTCGAAATATCTAATTTTCTGATTTTCACACAGTTTCAGATGGGGCTTTCTCACGGTGTGCTTAAGGGGTTGATCGATCAACGAAGTCACCAACCGGCTCATTAGGAAAGTTTCGATTATTCACGTGTTTGTCCACTGAGGCGGCAAAAGAGCGATGAAAAAATTATGGCGGGGCACCATCGACCCCTCTTTTGACCTCTACCTGAAAATGTGTCAAGCCAGCGATCACACCACGACCCTCAAAACAATGGTTTTTGGCTTTCCCTAGTTTTACGTGCTTCATATAGTTTCCAGACCAAAAATTACGCCAATCTTGACGCTGATGAGTTTTTTTAAATTGATAATTCGTTTAATTTTGTAACGGTCGAAGGCGATCTTGCAATGTACACGCAACGGTCAAACTTCATTATCAAATAGTTCACTGAGAATGAGTCATTATCAGAACTGAACTTTTGAGTGAGGTATCAGTGCTTTATCACCGAAAATTGTTTGAGGATTTTTATATTGTGCACAACACGCACACACACACACACCTTTCATCGCCCTAATTTGGGTGAGGAAATCGTGGCAATCTTCTTCAGCCAAATTTGGGCGATAAAGCATCCTAAACCCATCTTTGGGTGATAAAGTGTACCTCACCCGAAATTTGGTGGCATATCAAGACTCTTCCGTTTTCAGTGTAAGTGCGGCATATCAGTTTGGTTCCAAAACGATCCGTTTGGCGGCGCTTGTGCGTGGAATAGAAATCGGAATGATGAACGATGGACTTTGGTGGCTTGGCTGGCCCCTCTGTGGCCGGCAAGCCCGGCAAGCCCGCACCCGCAGGCGGCAGGCCCTCGCCCTTATTGACATTCTACAGGTGGAGGAGGACGACGCGGCCACGGCAGCCACGGCACCGCGGGCCGCCTGCGGTGTTGGCTTTGAAAGAGAGCTGCAGGGGAGACCACGGCGGACGGACGGACGGACAGGAGACAGACAGACAGACAGACAAGCCAGACACACAGACAGGGACAGACGCACAGGCGTTTTCTTGGACTTTTTGTTAGACAAATGCCTGCAACTGGTAAAAAAGTATGGGTATTGAGTGGAAACTCACTACCTTCAAACTCACTCTAGTCAGTGGCACTCTAGTCATGGGGCGCCCCATAAAGGTGCGAGAGAGAGACAGCGAGCGACGACTCTGCTGAACGGCAGTTTTACGCGGCGAGGACGGAGGAAACGCGGGGGCGTACACTAGCGTCCCAGGTGGGCTCTGTCGACACGCGCGTCGCTCACAAAGGGCGGATTCACATTGATATTCACATTATCCCGTTGAAAGCCCCGCCGTGTATTCGATTTGTTGGCAGTATGGGCGTTTTTACGGTGCAGGTCTCGTCCGTCCGAGGAATAGGGGGAGGGGGGAGGGGCCCCTTTGTGGGCGGAGGAGGAGGAGGAGGAGTAGGAAGGGACTTCCCTCTTCTCTGGTCCAGCCCAGCCTGGCGGAATGTCCCCGTAGATTTATGATGTTTGCTTCTCACTGGCTGGCTACTGATGTGTGACCACCAACAAACTCGCTACCTCCCCCCCTCCCTTCCCCGCCCTCCCTTAGCCAAGACGATTGTTCGGCGCCCCTCCCCCGTCGCCTCGCCCCTCCCGCCCCTCTTCCGCGCGTCTGATCCAACTCTTTCCGCCCCTTTCGCTTCCCGACCCTCGAGAGGAGCCCTTTGTACGCACCAATTGATGTGTAAACACATGTTACACACTCTCGCCGGACACAAGAAATCGGTCAAGCTGCTCGTCGGGCCTCAAAAGATATTTCTGGCCGGCATTCCTCGTGACACAGTTTTTGTACAAAATTTCCCCCACTTATTAAAAAAAAAGAATTGCATGCAAACCCCTTTTATATAAAACGTACTCGCACAAACGAACACACTGGTACTAAATACCATGGGACATTTTTTTTACCTTCAAGCCAGTGATGTCTAGTCATTTTTTGTTTTCACATTGAACTTTTCATGATGGGAATTTGCGCGTGGGTTCTCGGCAAAAACGGTTCCTGCTTTTCCTAGGAGCTTCCTGGTAATTGCCCTTGACTTAGCTGCAAGCTACCTGGAAAAACCGGGACCCGTTTTTGCCGTGTTTGAAGTAAATTACTTGAATTACTTGATTGCTAGTCAAATTTCTTGACTCAAGAAACGGTCTTTTAGGGGCAGGATACCTATCCTGCTCTGCCTACATCCTTTCGAAACCACAAAGTTGACTGTCCGCAACAGAAGCTGTGCCTACTCACCTTTGGACAGGTCTTGCACGGGGGAGCCCGGGCCGCTAGACAGCGACTCGTCGCCGGAGAGCGCGGGGCTGGCCAGCGACGCGGGCACGGGCCCCAGGCCGTGGCCATGGTGGTGGCCATGGTGGTGGCTGTCGCCGGGGGCCGCGCCGGGCCTGAGCGCCGCGAAGGGCCCCAGCCCCGCGTAGGGCGAGAAGGGGTGCTGCTGCTGGTCCAGGAAGGACAGCGGCAGCCAGGAGTGGTACAGCAGCGCCAGCGGCAGGCCGCCGGGGCCCAAGCCGCCGGGCAGCCCGCCCTGCAGCCCGCCCTGCAGCCCGCCCTGCAGCCCCACTGGCGGCGCGGGCAGGCCGGGAGGCGCGTGGCCCAGCAGCAGCGGGTGCTGCAGGTTGTTGTTGTTGTTGGCCAGCTTCCTGCTGTAGTCCATCAGGAAGGGGTTGCTCTTGGCGTCCTCCTCGTCGTCGTCGCCGCGGTCGCCGACTAGGTCCAGGGGCCGGCTGTCGGCGGCGTCCCGGTCGTCCTGGCTGACGCCCTGGCTGACGCCCAGCCGGCACAGCACGCTCACCTGGTGCGCGTCGTGCTCGCGGTCGCGGAGGCTGGTGGACGCAATGAGGGACTCGATGGAGAAGGGCCGGTGCTTCGGCGGCGGCGACCTCGTCGTCGTCCTGGCCGGACTCAGGCTCCGGCACGGCGGCGACGACGGCGCCGAGGCCGGCGGCGGCGTGGCGGGGGCCGCGGGGGCGGCGGCCGTCAGGGCCATGGCGGGCGCCAGCGCGGAGCGGGCGGGGCGGGCGCACCCCGGCACGGCGGGCACGGCGGGGCCTGGGCGGCCTGGGGGGTCGACGCTCAGCGCATCCATAGCATGGCAGCCACTGCGGACGAAGGACGAAACAGTATGAAACATTGACCAGCTATAGATTCACTCTCATTCCAGGAACGTGACATCACGTTGAAACGAACGTGACAAAATGTCACGTTCGTTTTTGAGCATTGTGTCACATTCGTTTCGGTGTGAATTGGCCAAAAATCAGCTTGTTCGCTTTCAAACGAACGTGACACAATGCTCAAATTAACGAACGTGACATTTCATCACGTTCGTTTCGACGCGATGTCACGTTCCTGGAATGAGAGAGTTGACTTTTCGAAAAGACCCAACCAGGTTGTAAATGCTCCGAACGCAAGAACTACTACGTTCAGTTTGACTTCCAACGCCGTCTCTCTCGCTTCCTTCCGGAACGCCTCATGAGTGCGAGAGAGACAGAGCATCGAGAGCAGTGCTCGGAATCAACCTGCCGCTTGCGAACCAATCACACGACCGCTTTCCCGCGATTACAGTGTGGTTGGCGGCGCCAGCCGAAGCGCATCTTCATCGCCCCGTCCGCGGGGTGTGGCGGGGCGGGGCGGGGAGGGGTGCGGTGGGGTGCGGCGGGGGTGTAATGGTGCGCGGTGTTTCGCGGCGGCGCGAGGCAACGGCTCGTGACCCGACCAAGTGTAGCAGAAAGACACCTGCGCCGCGCGTGCGTCACACAGTGTAGCGGCACCGCCACCTCACCGAGAAAACCGCCCGAGCGATTCCGAACAGTCATCTCGTCGCTCTGTCTCTCTCGCACCCCGACGGAAGGCCCCACGAGTGCGGCAGGGACAGAGCGCGACGAAACGCATCGTCGGAATCAGTCGGCCGAAAGCACTCCATGCATGTCCTGGGGAAGTACATCGATTATCTCACAGCGTCCAA